CTATTTTGATGAAAATGCTTCCTAAAACTCACTTAAGTGCTCCTTTTATGTGATTTCAAGCCCTATACACCTAAAAATACCTAATATTAACATGTTAGGAGGAAGAATGAGTTCATTTGATAAGAAATGAAGAAAATGGGCAAAGTAAAAGTCATATAGGCCTTACTTGGTTCTATTTTGTTGAAAATGCTTCCTAAAACTTAGTAAATTTCTTCTTTTATGTGATTTCAATTCATAAACACCTATAACTATGTGATATTGATATGTTATAAGAAAGAATGAGTTGACTTGCTAAGAACTGAAGTAAATGGGCAAAGTAGAAGTCATTTAGGCCTTATTTGGATGAATGTGGATGAAAATGGTTCCTAAAACTTAGTTAATGCGTATTTTTATGTGATTTCAAGTCATAGACACACTAAACTACTTAATATTGACATTTTTGGATGAATAATGAGTTCATTTGATAAGAAATGAAGAAAATGGGCAAAGTAGAAGTCATTTAAGCCTTACTTGGTTCTATTTTGCTGAAAATGCTTCCTAAAACTTACTTAAGTGCTCCTTTTATGTGATTTCAAGTCATAGACACCTATGACTATGTAATTTTGAGATATTATGAGGAAGAATGAGTCCAATTGATAAGAAAATGGGCAAAGTACAAGTCATTTAGGCCTTATTTGGTCCTATTTTGATGAAAATGCTTCCTAAAACTTACTTAAGTGCTACTTTATGTGATTTGAAGCCATGGTCACTTATAAATATGTAATATTGACATGTTATAAGAAAGAATGAATTCGTTACATAAAAAATGTAGAAAATGGGCAAAGTAGAAGTGATTTGGGCCTTATTTGGTTGACTTTGGTGGAAAATGCTTCCCAAAAGTTACTTAAGTTCACACATCATGTGATTTCAAGGCACATCCACCTATTATATATTATGTGATGTTGACATGTTATGAGAAATAATGAGTTCATTTGCTTAGACATGTGCAAAATAGGAAAAATAGGAGGCATTTTGGCTAAATTTGCTTGAATATTCTAGAAATTAAATAGACATATAACTTATGTTGTTGGTAGTTTTTTAAACAATATATGTTCGTATGATGTATATCCTGTAGGAGGCCTACCAGAAGAAGGTTGAAGAAGCAAGTACTCAAGGGATTCAGAAGAGTCCGAATAGTTGTTGGGAGACGGTGGGTGGTCACAACAAGAAGGGTTGTGTTAAGGGACTTGGCCAAAGTGCAGAGCTGTACTATGGCAACCGGATGGGTCGAGTTTCCAGGTCTTCACAGCAGTACACGCCGTCCGTTCTTTCTCAGATGAAGGATCAGATGGAGCATAGGGTGCAGATTCTTCGCAGTGAAATCTGAAGTGAATTGGAAGTAGAGATGCAATCTCGATTTGAAGCGCAAATGGCCGAAACAGAGTGGAGAAACCAGGAGAGGTGGGATGAATTGATGAGTCGTTTCCTCAACAACGGCACATGTTCCACCATTCATCCTCAGCATCAAGACCCCAGGGACGACCTAGGTAGTGGCGGAGCAGGCCAGGGTACCCCGGGAATTATTAAGCATAGCTTTTGTTTATGTAGTATGCACATGTACTTAATTCGGATTATGTTTTATGCCTGCACACAATCTATATATTTTTATTTATATATATATAAATATTTCCGTAATTCAATCATGAATTTAATTTTATCATGAATTAAGTGCAGGAGGTATAGGTTTCGAATGATGTTAATTCAGCAACAAAATTTATTAAATCAGCAGCAAAATTTCCGACGAAATTTCTGATGCAATTATCCGTCGAAAACAGGAACTTTGCGACGGAAATTAAATCCGTCGGAAGATTGCGACGGAATTGCCCATGCATATAGCCGTCGGAAAAATATAAATTCTGAGGGAATAAATATCCATCGAAAATTTGCGATGGAAAAATGCATCGCAAATTTGCGACGGAATAGTTATCCCTCGGAAAATTGCTTATCTACGACGGAATATGTCCGTCGGAAACTAGTTCATTTACGACGGATTATTCCGTAAGAAGAGGTATTTAATGACGGAATTAAATCCGTCGGAATTTTGTGACGGAATTTCAATTTAGGTCAATCCTGACTCCGACAGAACAAATTCCGTCGAAATATGCTTTTTCGACGGAATTTCCCTCGAAAAATGTCAAATTTCCTACAAAATGTTTTGCGATAGATGTTTCCATCGGAAAGGTGATTTTCGACGGATTTTCATATGTTTCCGACGATTTTTTTCCGTCTAAAAAAGGTTGTTTTCTAGTAGTGTTAGATTGTGATTGTTGAGTTAACATATGAAAATTTAGATATGTAATTTGCAAATGAAAATTTTCGTACATCTCTATTGAATTTTGGCCTAATGTCATTTGCAAATTGCAATTCTTATACGCTCCATGGTTTGGTGACTTTAGCATAGGCCATATTTACCACGAAATATTGAACCTTACAAATACCACAAAATCAAGAGACTAACAAATAGGAGTAAATTCCTTAACTAAGTAAGATTAAGCCAACTTAGGAATAATTTTATGATAATTTCTTTTGAAAAATTATTCTACAATACCTAGGTAGTTTGGAACTTCAAATAAAGGGAATTTCGAAATAAACTAATCAGTGAGAATTATTTATGAGTTTGAGTCTGTAAAGTACGACTTCTTCTGTGATACCAAATTACATCAATGACTTCGGTTAGAAACATGCATGAAAAGAATTTCACAAATTGAATGGTATATCTATATGGTTATTCTCTTAATCCAATTTAGATATAACTCATACAGTTCGTAAATCTATGTGTATAGAAAATTATAACTTATAAATGACAAAATGATTTAGGTAAAAACCAATCTCAAATATCTAATACCGGCAAAAATATTTTGACCCTCGAAAATGGTTGACTTCTATATATATATATATATTAAAACAGAGGACGCTCAATCTACAACTATAAACACATGTCACTCTGTGGTTAAAAAATTTCCCGCTTAATTTTCTTACCATAAAAATATCAACTAAATCTTATTGTGATATTGTAAATCACGATAAATGTGTATATTCATACAATCATACAATTAAAAAAATATTCTTATACTAATAAGATCAATTAGTATAACAAAATATATTATCACATATATATTGATTGCACTTAATATATTATAATTTCAATTATTGATTGCACAAAATCTATTATAAATTAAATTATGATATAATATTTCTATATTAGTGATTCAATTAATAGTGACTAAGCCAGTTAAAAAAATTTGATCTTATTACCTATTTACATACTCATAGTGACATAATATTATCACCCTAAGATACAGTAACTAAAATTTGCAGCTTTATAATTTATTTATAAATGGCATATGACATGATTAACGATTTCACCTCTCTCAAGAAAAATTGGAAGATCAAAGTTAGAATTGTTAGAATTTGGTACTCTCCAATCCTACCCATTTCCGCTATTCTAAATAAATTAAAGAGTTTAATTTTCAATACCAAAATATTTTTTAACCTTATATATGTCTTCTATAAATCTTACATATGGATACTTTTTAGTAAATATTTTTGACATCCTATAATTTTAGATTTTTAGTAAATTACAATTTATCAACGAAAATATTTGATCAAATAGTATTACTTTACACATACTTAACAAAATATCAACTAAATAAGTTTAAAACGTACTATTATTAACAACTCATACATATTGAAAAAATTTCTAAAGTTTATAATGTTTTACAAACTTGCACTATATCATGTCAATATACATTGTAAATATACTTTGTAATATATTCTATAAATTGTCAAAATATTGATTTCATGTCAAATTGTTGCCAAAAAAATGTAACTTATATTGTTTTACCATTGTCAAATTTCACACAAAATTATAAATAAGAATTTACATATACTTAAAATAATATCCTAAATAAGTTTGATAAAAAGATGGACATAGACCTGTCAATCGGGTTGGGGTCGGGTCGGGTCATTCCGGACCACGTGTCATTTCAAGTTGGGTCACTTCATTTCACGGTCAAGAAATGTTCAACTCTAACCCAAAGTTTTGGGTCAACCCAACAGTTTAGAATAATTTTGTTAACCTGTCAATCGAATCGGGTTCGGGTCAGACCATTCTAGACCACGGGTCATTTTAGGTCGGGTCACTTCATTTCAAGGGTCCAGATATGTTCAATTTAACACAAAATTTTAGGTCAACCCAAAGGTTTAGAACAATTTTGTTATATAATTTATTTTTTGTTAATGTTTAGAAATTTATGACTTTCAAGTTTACTTTGCTATTATTTTTTTCTCAATTTTTTAATCGAATATTCTCAATAATATTATTTTTAGCCATTATATGCCTACTACATATTTTAAATTGCCACAAAGCGCATCAATTCCTAACTAATAAAAAATGATGATAAAAAAAAATACTTGTAAACATTACAAAATTAAAGGAGGAGGCTAGGCTAGGCCAACGTGGCATGCATGACGATAATGTGGGTTATGTGAATGCATGCAATTAGTGTGGATCGATAATTGGTGTAGGAGGTTGTTGTTATGGATCTGTGTAAGAGTTATATCATATGAGATGGATAAATAAGATAAAAAAATAGTCGGATGGTAGACAAAATAATCAAACTCAATCAATAAACTAGATATTAATTTTCAAATAAGTGTAGAAAAATGATCAAATTTAATCAATAAACTCAATGAACCATTAAAACGGGTCAACGGGTCGAATTTGACCCGCATGATTAAGACAAACATACAAATGAATATAAATTGATACACATTATTGTGATAGTGATTGTTACAAAATAATGAATAATATAGGGTTTCACTATTGTAGATTAAATTAATCTCCTACAATTTAATTTATAAGATTTACTCGTGTAGTATTTGAACTTTTAAAACCGTACAATTGTACGAGTTCTATACAAGTTCACTTCTAAAGTACAAAGATTAAAACCCAACCTCATTTGATCCTAGTGAGTAGTGACCAACATTGGTTAACCAAGTTTAGGACCTCGGCTCTTAGAATTGAAACATTGCCACTCAAAAAATGTTGTCAGTAGCAAGGCGACTCCAAACACAAAACCCATGCCCATGTCTTCTGCAACTCCGATTCGCCGGCACCGACGCCGGCCAATACCGGAACCGCCGTCGTCATTGTTTTACTGCTTCTATGAAAAAAACCGACGACAAATCGGAGTGGTGGGTTATCGACGGCGAGATGCACGAAATCGGAGAGAACGTCCCATTAAGAGAACGCTTCGTCATTCCCAGAGATAATCTCCCCAATAGACGTCGCAAGCAGCTTCGCGACCAGTTTATGCGCCGCACTCGTCTTGTTCTTAAAGACTCTGTTCGTTTCTCTTTCTCTATCTTCCTTAATTTGATTATCAATTTTAATTTTTGTTGTTGGCAATTGATTGGGTAAATTAGGGTTTATAAAGGGTGGTTGATTAATTTGGGGTTTGAATTGAATCGCGGCATGCACACCAACTGTTTGCTAAAATTCCCAAGAGGAATGGTTGTAGGGCATTTCTGATTATTCCTGCTAATTTTTTAATGAACTGCAAAATAAGTGTCCTGTATCAGAGTTTGTAGGAGAATCTTAGTTTGACATCAATTGGTTTATTTTTGGTTGTTGTTGTTGTTGTTGTGATTTTGAAAAATGTTTAAATTTCTGCCCTTCAATTTGTAACTTACATTAGTTTGATTAGGTTGCTGTTGTGCTTGAGCATAGAGCCTTCATATTAGTTTAATGAGGTTTGCTTAAGTTTATAGTGCAGTTGAGCTTTATGAGCTTGTTTGGATGCTTGCTTAGGGTATATGTGGTTTGGGTTTTGTAAGCTTTCGCAATTACAATATTTCATTTTGACAAGGGTTTGATTGAAGCCTGAATGGATTAATATTATTTGCTCGAGTAAAAGAAGGGTCCATATTAAGTTGTTCTTCTGATGCTATTATCATTGCAATTTTCCTTCTAACTCGAGAGATGATTGAGGGAAGGGTTCAAGCCATGTTTAACATTGCTTGAGACTAGCTTAGGTTTGTTAAACAACTTATAAGCTTGGAAAATTTCCACTTTGGTGACATGAGGTTTACTATAATTCCAGTTTGGGTGTTGTGTGGTTTCAATAATTTAACCTTTGTGCCATGAGCAGTTAAACTTCGTTTCAATAGTCTTGTGGTTAGTAATTCCACTTTGGTGCCCATAGTTTTAAACTGTACTCTTTTTTTTTTTTTTTTTTTTTTTTTTTTCACCTATGCACTAAAATATTTATTAATGCTCATTTTTGTAACAAGCAATCAACTTTTTTAGTCTTACTCCGAATTTCATTATAAGGAAAAAAAAATTTCAATTTTTTTTCTTTTTTACTTTGATTAGTCGTATTTCATATATATATAAAAAAAATTAAAAAAAAACTCTTAAAATCTCTCCATTTAAAAATAAATCTTATGTTGTTCATGTTATTGTTTCACTCAATTCTAATAAATAAAGAAATAAAATATACTCTGACAACTCTGTATTTATTGAAAAACAAAACCGAGTTTGAAAACTCATGGCACCATAGTAAAATTATTAAAACCACAGGGAACCAAGGTGGGACTTTATCAAGATCAACAACCTTAGGGCACAAAAGTGAAAATTTTCCTATAAGTTTTCTAGGCTCAAGGCTCAACCATCATTTCATTTTCTAGTGTCTTTGTTATGTTTTCTTGAATTCCTTCTGTTGCTGTCGCCTGTCATGACGAACCTAATAGGATGTTTCTGTCTGGCTGTTACTATAAAATCCGAAGGAAGAATGACTAGGAAGGCTGAAAGTGTTAAGTTCTTGTTGATAAGTTCCATCATGTATTTAGAACTTTTGATTAGGCTTTTTGATGATACTGACTGGTAATATTGATAATAGATTCTACATTTCTACTTCTTTTGTGTTTATTCTTTATACAGAGTGCTCGCTTTATGGTTAACCTTTATTTAGGCCTAAATTTTCTTCTTCTTTACTCTAAGGAGCAAGAATCTTTCTGCAAAAAGTACATGCAACTGTACAATGAGCTCAGAGAGAACTGGGAGCGGTTATATTGGGATGAAGGTTACTCTAAAAAGCTTGCTGCTGATCATGCAAACTATGACTCTCCTGAAGAAGAAGATGATGGAGACTTTTCACCTTACAGGTTTGTCTACTATGACTGCTTGTTTTTTTACTGGCTCATATATGCTGGTGGCCATGGGTATACTGTATAGTGACTAGTGAGTTGGTTTATCTGTGCCTAATTTTATCTGTCTATTGTTTGTAGGAGAGGTGGATCACATGCAGGGCAACTTCAGGTATTGTATAATGAACTTATTACATTGATCATTGTTTTTTCATCCCCCCCCCCCCTCTCTCTCTCTCTCTCTCTCTCTCTCTCTCTCTCTCTATCTCTCTGTGTGTGTGTGTGTGTGTCCACCAACATAATCTATCTTGACTGTCTTAGAGTCTTGGACAGTTGGACTGTATGTCTGTATGTAATGCGATGGTTACTTCCAATTTGTCCCTGCTCCTTATGTACTAACACAGAGTTACCAAATTTCAATGCAGGAACAAGGTTCGTCAAGGAACAGACAAACTGAAACTTGGGAGAAAGTCCACCAAATTCGGGATAAATTTGAATATGACAGAGAGATGAGAATGAGAGACAAAGGTAAGTCTCATGTTTAGGTTTCCTAAATTTATACTACCCCCGTTTCATATTATTTGCAACATTTGTCAAAAGTAGATGTTTCATATTATTTGCAGCAAATGTTTTCTTTCCTTTTTAAGTTGTTATTTCTCTCTATCTCTCTCCTCATCACATGTATCTCTATCTTTCTCTCTTCATTTAATACTCACGAACAAATTTTGCCGATTAGTCCGTGCTAACTCATTTACGGCAAATAACTGAAACAGAGGTAGTAGCCTTTTTTCGGGTTCTTGTATTTATGTATTGGGATTCACTTCTCAGCTTTCTTCTTCGAACTCCTCCTAGCACCTTTCTCTTGCCAAAAAGTGCATATTTAAGAATAAAAGGGAAAATAAGCTAGGAGTTGGAAATATATTCTCACGACTCTTGCATAATAAAATTAGGAGTTCTATAAAATAAAGTGCTAAGCTGATACAAGTATATGAATTTAGACATGGAATATTGCTTTTAAAATGCTTAAGATTACTATATGTGACATGTTCGGCATGCCTCACTACAGCTTTTGCACCAATGAACACGAGAAACTCTGCTGGTGATCATAGAGCATCCTTCAAGAATCAACCCTTTGATGCAGAGAGATACTTTTCTGGAGAGGAAGAGGAAGAGGATTAAAAGCTGTTGGAACGGATTATATCAGTTTATTGACCATTGTTCTAAAGTTGAGGAAGTTTGGGAAAAATCTCTTGCTGAATAAACCACTTTTGAGACACCTCTCTCAAACAACCAACCTAGGGAAGGGTGTTGTTTGTGGATTACAGAAAAGGTCCTGAAAGTAAAGCTCAGAGTGGTGGCTACGACCAAAGCTCTTAAGAGTTCATCCTTTTTGGCCGAAGTCCAGTTTCTAAGGCATTGCCGTAAGTGTGCTGATTGGTTTGCTGGAAATGAACAGCGTAGATTGTATGAGTGAGATCTGTATTAGACATTGACTTTTTGCTTTTGATGTATCATTTACGATGAAGAACTTAACTTCATGAAGGAAATTTCTGTAGTGCTTCCTGTCATGTTCTGATGAACAGGTCTTTAGTGAAACAGTTTTAGGAGTATATTATGTCAAAGAACAATTTGTGGTGTATTGGAACTAATATGAAATAAAGAACAATTTTTAATAGTATCAACTCTACTTGTTCAAAGGTAATTCAACTCTGGTATGCAAGGTTGTCTTTAGTGTTGCTCTTCTGCTAGGTGACAACTCTGGAAACTGAGACGGGTCCGTCTTTGTCTCAATGGAAAAATAAGGGGGCGACTGGGGGGTTATTGGAGTATACACTTGTCTCTGTGGCGGATAGGCTTTAACAGTGATTGACGGTATGATGTTGCAGGCTTTTTAGGGTTTAATTGCTAGATACAAGGTATTAGTGTATAACGAGCTGAGTTCTGTGAGTAATTGCGAATCGAAAACTTTCCTAACAGATAAAGAGAAACTTAACTTGTGCAATTTCAATAATATTGATATGCAAGGTTGATGTTGAAGTTACATCGTTCATGTAAACGAAGACACTTTTGCAACCACATTTGGTTTACATTTATTTGCTTCAATAACCTAAGGCGCACACATTACAAACAACACTTACAAAAATAAAAAACATCAACCAAACTAATTCAAAGAAAAAGCTTAATTTGCTTACAAGCACACTCATCTTAAAACATTAAGCAACAACAACAAATCTCCAGAGAAATTAAACAAAAAGGGAAGCCTCAGCAGTTGATAGGAGAAAGGTTGCACATAGCAGGAAGCTGGGTGCAGCGGTTAGGGTCAACCCCGAAAGCACGTAGCAAACTCGGCTGGTTATTCTTGTAGTTACACAGGCATTGAATGTCATCGGCATTCAGACCCTTGACCATGTTGCAGCAAGCCGGGGATGGGCTTGTCGGGTTGCTTGTAGCCACCGCGGGCTTGCAGGTCATCAGGTCCTGCACGTTTAGGTTGCAGGCACCATTGCAAGCCCCCGAAATTGCAACCATCATTGCAAGAAACAATACTGCCTTTCTCATTGCCATGATCGAAACCTCAACTATTTGGTGTGCTTGTAATATAACTCACCCTCTCTTTGAATAAGGTTGATCTCAATAAGCTTGATTTGTTTGCGTATTATAGGAGTATACTGTAGGAAAAAGCTGCAAAATAGTCATTAAAAAAACAAAGAAATATGTAAGAGGGAATAATATGTTAGCCAGTAGTTGGCTCCCGTGACTGAAAATTGGCAGGATATATGACAATTTACACTATTGAAGACTTTAAAGTTATTTTTGTAAGGTGTGTTATTTAAAGGAAATTGTTTGATTAAGATGTTTAGATTTTTTTTTTTTTTTTTTTTTTTTTTGGGGGGGGGGGGGGGGGGGGGGGGAGGGGGGGTTGGGTGTGTGTGTGTTTGCGTCATTCATATTTATCAAAATTGCCATTATTTCAAGCAAATGGTCAATATTGTCCTTGCTTAACCCTAACCCATTTCTTCTCCCCCTTTTTTATCTCTATCATCAAACACCCTAACCACCAACCTTTTTCCACACAACCACATATAGAGGTTATCGGCAGCAATTGGTGGCAGTGGAAGGCGGCGACGGCGGTTCAATTGGCGAGATGGCTGAAAATCTGAGGAAGGAGAAGTTTTCCGGTGAAGTTTTTTTATTTTTTTTTTATAAATTAGGTGGCTGGTAATGGAGGCCAGAACCGATTACCATGGACAGTAACCAGTTTTGGCCTCCGGTTACCGTGGATGGTAACCGGTTTTGGCCTCCGGTTACCTTGGTCAAATGGCGGTTTCTGGCCAATTAAACCACTTTAAACCCCCGGAAAAAAAAAACTGACGACAGCATTCCCTGTTCGTTTTCCAACAAGCCACCTCCATCACCATCCATTTCTCGTCAACTTTCACGGTAGTGTTGGCAGTCCGGTGTAGATGGTGGTTATTGACACGGTGTTTATGGGTTGTGGGTGGTCGATGTGGTGGTGGGTCGTACCGATGTTGTGATTGGTGGTGGTTGACTTGGTGTGGTGGATGGATTAATGTTAGAGAAAGAAAATGGGAAAATATTTTTAATAAGGGCAAAGATGTCTCGCTCTTTGCTTGAAATGATGACGACTTGATAATTTTTTATGGCGGTATTTTGCATTTCACTTAAGGTATTGGATGTATTGAGAATGAGGTATAACTTATATTTTCCCTACAAATTAGTTGAACTATGAAAGTGTTATTCAATTTTACTTGTTTTTCTATTAAACAATTATTATTATTATTATTATATTTTTTTTTAGAATTCATGAAAAAGAACTAAGGTCTAAGGACACAAACTTGTTCAATTACCTCAATATATATATATATATATATATATAATTCTCACCGACACAATACTTATCCCTAGTTTATTAATATCAATATTCTTAGTTTTTATATGTTTTACTCCCTCAGTCCCACATTATAGTTCATGTTTTTCTATTTTGGAAACCCAAAATGTTGTTTCTATTTCTATTTTTGGATAGTATGTAAAGACCATTATACTCTCATTTTTTAACATTATTGATTATACTTCCTACATTACCCTTGAATTTTCCACTTACCTTGTACTCTTTTTTACTTTCTCTTTCTAACTTTTGTCTATAATTGTACTTTTCACTTTTATTTATTTATTTATTTTTTAAATGTACTTTATTTACTTTCTTCTCCCATCTTAAATACCATAAAAAAACATAAACAAGAAGTATAAATTGGGATGGAGGGAGTATGAATCTGCAGCCTTAGTTAGGATTAATTTGTGTGTTTGTGGGGTTTTAATTTTCTTTTCTTTTTTGTGTGTGTGTAATTATTATGATAAACACGATTCACGACTAAGAAAATGGTAATTAGTTTGGGTGTGATTTTATCAAAATGTCTGACCATATAAAAGTAATGTACCACCAATTAAAAGTGCATTTTCTAAATAAAATTTCGTTATCTCATTAGCAACTCTAAAATGAAATTCAAGTACTTTAGAATTAGATGAATATAATAATTGTTGGATATCGAATGGATAATACAGAGTAGGAAATTTATTCAAATAATTTTTATATAAGGGATGTACGAAATACAATTGTTTTTTATCAACTAACCATTAAAACATAGTATTAAAACAAATTTTATAGCACAAAGTTATAGTGTGTAAATTTTCAAAGGGTTTTGGCTTATAGCGGATAGTGGATGTGCTATAGTAAAAAATAGATGTGGCACATGACCATTGTTTGGGATTAAAGGACTGTCTCTAAGTTTAAAGTCTATTGATTAGTGAAACAGGGTATCTTCACTTTTAAAGCTTTGGCTCGTGAATTAATTTTGGACGTTTTCTAGTTGGAAGTTTCCTCTTATTCCAAAGGACACATTTAGATGGTTTTTATAATTAAGGAGATATGGATCTATACGATGATGATGCTAGAAATTACGAGTATATTATTTTGATCATTTGGATAACCAATATTGTTAATTAATTACATAAGTGTAGGCACGGAAAATTTATACCTACACGTACCACATTAGATGTTAGGCTGGTTAAAAGTTAAATTATGAGATAACTACTTTTAATATTGATTGGAAAAGAAGGATTGGTATGAAAGTTATTTCCGTGTACTTTCGTTTAAAGAGGGTGAAAAATTAAATAATGTTTATATATAAGACTAGTTGGTTAAAATATACCGTTAATCACAAAATAGGGGAAGCTTTTTTTTTTTTTCTTTTTCTCCTATCATGTCTAACGAGGCGATGTGGCCTTAACTTGTTATAGGGACAAAAAAAATTGATTAGTCTTTGGCAAGTTGGACGTATGAGAAGCCTTTAGTTATAAGAAAATTGAATGGTCAAGTCAGTGTCGTCTTCACCTCTCACCAAACAGCCAGCAGCCTCTAATTAACTAGGGTTACTTGAGTCAAGGTCTTTGTCTTTACTTTTCCATGGAAAAAATTAAGAGGTCTACAATGAGTGCTTTCATAGTTACATTCAAACTATTTAGTCGCAATTCTACCTCTAATTTTAAGGTCATTATTTTGTCTCCATTTATCATCCCCAAATGAAGATAAGTATACGCGTAGTGTCGTAGTTGGTTTGATTATGTGGAAAATTACGAAATTTTATATCACTATATTTCATCTATCCCATGCATATATTTAAATAAATTTATATATCTGTTGAGCCCATGAGAAAACCCACATGTAAGAGAAAGTGTTGTCCCACATTGAAAGAGTATAAAAGTGAAGAAGAATATTGGGATGTGTTTTCCACATTGAAGAAAAGCAAAAGTCGTGTCCACTTTATAAGGCTAAGGAGCTACTCCCCTCATTGCCATATGGTTTTGAGGTGGAACCTCCTTGGAACCGCATAGTGGACACTTGTGACGGGTGTGGTCTAGGCCCATTTATCATGGTATCAAAGCCCAGGTTGAATTATGTTGTGATCTGGTCCAGTAATTATGGATAACTCACATGTGAGGGGGAGTGTTGAGTCCATGAGAAAATCCACATGCAAGAACTATCACACATAGGGATGTGTGGTCTAGGCCCATTTATCATGGTATCAAAGCCCAGGTTGAATTATGTTGTGATCTGGGCCGGGGATACAAACCATACCCGCCATAGGTGATGGGGCGGGGGTGGATTTTAGGTTGTATCCGCCCCATCCCCAACCACCCCACTTCGTACCCGCCCCATCCCCACATCCATATATTTTAAAAACAAAATTATATGCTTTTATACTATTTTATAAAAAAAATCATGTAATATAAAATAGTAAATATAATACTTTGTAATACACTTATATTATAAAAAAAAATGTGTAATATTAACAATAATTTTTTTTCTTTTTGCAATCTTTATTAATTATGAAGGATTGTGTATTTGGGAGGCGGGGATTAGGCGGGTCTTAGGTGGGGATTAGGTGGGGGTGGATATCCAAGTGGGGGTTGGGGCGGGAATGGTTTTGGAATTGTACCTGCCGGGGCGGGGATGGGGATGAATTTTAGACCCGCCGCGGAGATGGGGATGGGTATGAAAATTTTAGATGGGGATGGGGATGGGAAGGCCATCATCCGCCCCGCCCCATTGACATCCCTAATCACACACAATGTATATTAGTATTTTTTGACGCATTTTTTGACGTAATTAGAATTGAAGAAAAATTGTGCGTATTCTCAAGTTTATCACATGCACGTAATAATCAGATCGAAAAGTACTATAGATTATCGAAATTTTTACGTACTCGTATATACTGTTGTAAAATCATCCAGTACAAAATTATTTGATTCTTGCATAAAATTGTAACTTGTGAATTTTAATTCATTTATTTTACTCGTATAATTTACTCGTATATATTCATACTTGTTACATTTTTTGCTTAACACCACTCTATCACAAACGAACTAAAGGTCATGAGCTCAATAAGTAGATAATACTATTATCTAGTGGAGTGATGGAGTGGAAGTTAATCTAAGCAATTGACTGGTTTGGAAATGTTGCACAAAGGACCAAGTTGGACGCACCGATCGGGATCAATCCCGAAAGAGCGTAGCCAAGTCCCATTATAAACCTTTATAAAACCACAGAGACATTTTATATCTTCACCATTTTGGCTCTTCACCGTCTTGCAACATGCCGGGGATGGGTTCGTAGGATTCTTTAAGGCCACCGCCGGCTTGCAGCTCATTAGCTCCTGCACATTCAGCTTGGTGCAGTTTTCTGCGTTGCAAGCCCTCCAAATTGTAACCGTTACTACTAAGAACACCAACACCTTCCTCATTGTCATGATATGATTGATACACTGTATGCAAGTATTACGTACTTAAGTGGCCTAGTAGTACTATACGAGTGTAAGAGTATTTTTTTTTCTTCTCTTAGAGTAGGTTTGATATGACTGAGTTTAATTGATTGATTGTTGGATCGTATATATAGTGGGAGATATGGACTGAATATTGAAAAAAGGGCAAATTCATTATATTACTATTTGTAAGCTCTCATTAGGTTTGGTTAATTAACTGATCATGTC